AATGATATCAAATGAATAAGAATGAAAAATTAATATCAATTTTTTAAATATATTTTTCTACTTTGTTTTTATTATTGTAGGAAATAAATTCCTTTAAAGACTTTAAAAAAGATCAGTTGCTTATAAATCTTCTTCATTGCAATAAAGTGAATATTTTCCTACAATATGGACAAGTTTTTTTTTATCTGTCTTGGCCAATTTTTTATACATTCAGTATGAAAGATATGTCCACAGAAAAGTTTAAAGAATACTGGCTTTTTATCTATGAAACAAAAGCATAAATTATCATCTGGATCATTTATAACTTGGTGAACCATCCACGCAGTGGTATTCAGAGTTCAGCTGTATAAATCTTTTCAATTTCTTTAGATTATTTTCAGTTGGAGTTTGAAAAACATTTCAACTATTTTTGAAAAATAAATTTTCCACATATGCTTCCATAATTCTCCAGGAGAAAATGCCCACTAGGGAAAATATTTTGTGTGAAATAAAGGCCTTTCTAGGGTTCAAAGCACCTAATTCTACTAAAAAAAAGCCTTTCTTGGGTTTGAGATATTAATTATATTAAATAATAGTTTTTTTAATATTCCACCATTCTAATTTCTATGTATTTATGTTATAATTCTGAAGTGAACAAATTTCCCACCCTTTTAAGACCTTGCTTCCACAAAATGTCTGGGACTTGTCACATTGACTTTGTTATCTTTTTTTGTAAATGTTTGGTAGCTTTGAGGAGGTACTGTTTCAGCATCAAATTCTATTTTTGAGTGTGTTGGGACATTTAGTTCCCCTTGCTGGATATCTGGAGCCATTGGTTGAGATTTCTTTCTTTCCAAATATTTCTGAAGTTTTTTCATAGTAACAAAATCATCATATTTTGTAAATATTATTAGCAAAATATTTCTAGTAATTTTCATAAGTTTTTTCCTTATTTGTTCAAACGACATGATTATTGGCACACTTCCTTGACATCCACTTTGGCATTCAAATAGACATCTCAAACAGCTTTTTTAAGTTAAGTTTCCTAGTTATAGACTTTTTCAATTACTGTATATTATAGTTATAGTACTTTTTTTAATAATGGTGTGGAGTAAAGATATTAGGGAGCTTGTAGTCAGAAAATATACAGAAATAGGGAAATTGAGGGTCATGGCAAGGGTTTTAGGAATGGCATCATCATCAGTAAGAAACATCATCAACTATAAAGAGCCAGAGCAAGACAATAGGGGCAGTCTGAAGAAGCTTTCAGACAGAGAGATAGCCAGGATGAAAAGGATTGTCAAGAAGCTGAAAGATAATAAGGAAGGGGTGACAGCAGGTTTTGAAAGAATTAGAAGTAGATGTAAGCATTAGAACAATTCAGAGGGGGCTAAAAAGGCAAAATTTCAAATACAAAAGAATCAGGAAAAAACAGATCTCACCTCCAAAGTTTGTAACTGGCAAGGAGAGTATTGCCTCAAAATGATTAGAGATAATCTAGACTGGTCTAGAGTAATTTTCACTGACAGGCTAGATTCTCACTAAGTGGACCTGATGACTTTAGGACCTGGACAAACAATAGCCAAGAGGACTTTAGGGTGACAAAAAATATGGGAAGAGGCAGAGTATTGGTCTGGGGGTTGATCACATCTGATGGCATATTCAAAGTATGGAGGATAAAGAAATAATTAAATGCAGAAATTTATAGCTCCTTCATTGTGGAAGATGTTCTTCCTGTTATAGAAGAGATTGAGGCAAAAATGGGCAGGAAGTACATCTTCCAGCAAGATAATGCTGGCTGCCATACAGCAAGAGCAACAGCAAGGGCCTTTAAAAAAAATGAAATTAAGACCATTGATGGGCCAGCAAGGAGCCCTGACCTGAGCCTGATCAAAAACATGTGGCACCTAACAAAAATAATGGTCTATGATGGGCCACAGGATGAGTCAGAGGATGAATTATGGGAAAAAATTAAAAAATGTTCCTATGAGCTCATAAAGAAGAATCCAGAGTTGCTTCGAAATTTGTATGATGGAATGGGCCATAGGATTAGTAAATGTATTGAAAGGGAGGGTTGGCACTTACAAAGATAAAGAAAATTTGAACTCAAAAGATTATGTGCCAATAATCATGTTGTTTGGCCAAATAAGAAAAAAAAATTGTAAAACAATAGTAATTTTTATAAAAAAAACAGGATGTTACAAAGGTTCAACATATGGAGAGGTTAATTGAATTATAACTTGGCCAAACTTGAACTGGCAATTAAAGGTGAGCCTTAAGGATGACTAATCAAGTTTATGTTTGGCCAAATGTTATTACATTTTCCTGCATAGGTTTTTAATAGATACATGCATATTTGCATAGAATAACATAGGTGCATAAAATATAACCAAAGTTGTACATTATGATTCCAATATCACAAATTACTTGAACTGATTTTAGTTCTGTGCATGTGTTGAGTGTTGTTGAATCACCCAGCCAAGTGCTGTGAGTTTCCTGTGTTGGATCCAATATTGTTGGGAGTTGAGGGGCCAAAGGTGTAAGCAATGCCACCATCTTATTTCTCATAAAAAACTCCTTGCATAAAAGTTGAGATACTTGTTTGAGTGCAGTTTGTAAATTTTGGAAGTTCCTATCAATATTACTGAGTAAGGCAGATTTTCTAACTGCATTTTCAATGTCCAACTTCTGAAATTGTTGTGTGTTTGCATCATGTTTCCCTCCATTCTCCATTTTGCAATATTTGAGTTATGATGTAAAAGTGTAAATTTTCCATTCACTTTCATTGTTTGAAAATCTTTTCCTGTTGGACTTTCATACCAGACACCTAATTTTGGTAATAAGCTGAAAGTGATTTCTTTGTGGTTCAATTTGAAGGCTTCCAGTCTAATCTTTGAAGTGGATTTTAATTTGGAATCTTTCAACATTGTCAGAGTGTAATTATTATCTATATCCCTAATATCAGGCGAAAAAATGTTTTCCAAAATAAGTGTTTTTACTAATACTGTTGCTTGGGATTTTAGCAACATGTGATAACTTCTATCATCTTCTCTATACCAATCATTGTAACAATATAAACAATATTTTGTTTATCTGTTTCATTTACATTTTTCAAAAATGATTTCTTTTTTCCTTGAAACTTTTCTAGTCTCATGGTCTCAATATTTGAGATAACTTGGTATTTTTTTGTCTGCTAGCATTTTCTTATTTGCATAATTTGATTCTTTGAGGTCAGTTCTTAGTAAATCAAATACTTAATGTGGAACTAATACTCTTGTTCCTGGTCCACCAAATCCTCTTATTTATCTGTCTTGATATGGTAGGTCCATTATAGCAAAGTTTGGACATGAAAAGTATCCTCCTAGCTTAACACATTCTATGTTTTTCACACAATTTTCCAAGGTGACATATGGCCAAAAAGGTGTTGCCCTTCCTTTGGATTGAATATGATGATTGTATTCAGTGTTCTACAGAATCTATGTTTTATGGGACAGTCTTCCATATATTCCAGATTGGTAGTTATTTTGTCTTGATCAGATGACTTCTCAGCATAATATTATTGTATTTTGTATACCAGGAGATGGCCCGCATGTACCTGGTCAGCCATCTTTTGTGTATTGGTGTAGGGTATGTAAAGCTTAAATTTGTTCAGTAAAGGCATTTTAAACATGAAGAAGACTTAAGTAAAGTCAAAATATTGTTTCTTTTAATATAGTTTAACTTTGAAAACATTAAAATTTAACCTACTAAATTGAATAGAAGTTGTGCAACTGACATTGGACTTGTCTCCTGACTTCAGGAATAAGATATTGAAACTAGAAAGTAAAAGAAAAGTCTATTCAACACTAACCAGATCTCAAATTTGGAACCTACAACTATCCTACTTTGAAATCCATGAAAACATAAATCTACATTGGACTTCAGCACAATTGGGTGTGCTATAGTTTCCTAAACATCAGTGGGAACCCTGCCTAACAAAAACAGTGGCACTGGAAAGTGAAAAAGAAAACTAGTTTTATTCAACTCTAACCAGACCCCAAATTTGGAACTTACAACTGTTAAACATCCATTGAAAAACAGTTTTGTGAGTGGTACAGACCCTAACCAAAACCAAACCCTAATCCGGAAAAGTATATTTCCAACCCACATATCAGAGAATAATCACTAACCTTGACTACTTGCTGGATTTTCTTGCCTGGACAATCGTATTGTAAAACAGATGAGGCCATCATTGTTATTAAAACCTTAAACAATGATTACACACCAGGTCAAGAATCACCCTGGAAACTAAGAAGTCACTAGGTTAACTGTATTAAATTTACAGGACACTATTCCATACTGGACATCCTTTATCAAGATAGATTCATAGATGGTATTGGTGGTCCTGGAACAGAAGTATTAGTACCCCTAGAGGAGAAAAGTTTAATTCTAGAAACACCTAAGTAACCTTCACACCACCTACCATATTATCAAAAGATTAATAAAAAGAAGGAAAACTCCTACTTAGCTATCCAGATAAAGTTAGAGAACAAATTGGCTTGGGAAGTAATGATAACCATTTGTCAATTCTTAATGAATGGTACAAAGAAACAAACACTAAATACAAGATGATGAAAGGAGCAAGCACAGAGAAGATGGTACTCATATATCATCTGAAACAACCTATAAACCCTTCATATTGGGAACTAAGGTTAACCCAAACCCCAAGACCTGTCCTAACAAAATTATCTGGAAATCAGTCATATCTTCCTTAAAAGCTACCTACCATTGGTGGTTCTGCAAACAGGCATTGACAAAAAATCAAAGAACAAGAACTGAGAGGAGAAAGAGAAGATTTGAACAATCACCAGCTGCAATTTTATTATTTTCTGGGTTTGACAGTACTTTTGGATACCATCCAAACCAGAACCCAACTCTAAAGCTAACCCTAACCCTGCTTTTCAAAATGCAAATTGTTCTAATAAATTATACTAATATAAATGAAATGTCAAAGATTGTAGTAGGTCAATTTGATAATTTTTGCATGTTTCCTTAACTATTTATTTAAAAAAGATGGAAAAAATCCTGCATTTGCTCATATACAATGTCACAGGGTTAGCTACACAGAAATAAAGAACTGGCAATCAGAATTACAAGAAGAGCCATGTGCAGGGCTAAACTTGGATGGTCTGCCCTGGAAGGCTTGTTAACAACTGTACACTCTGGTTCAACACCATTCCACTTCAGAGATGAGGCTTGGCATTTTAGTGAAGTGGAACCTGTCAGTTCAAAGCCTGGTTGACAGGTGAAGGTGACTGTAGAACCAACACGGTAACCATTTGTCAATGTTAGACTACCATTTGCAGGTGTTTTAAGGAAGCCACAAGTGCGTATAGGATTTTCCTCCAGAGATGCCAATTTCTTGTATATGAGGCTAGCTTTAGCAGAACTTTTAGCTAGATCTTCATTACCAGTAACAATATAATCAAAGATACAGGCACTATCTCCATTGCACAATGTCTCTGAAATGGAGGAATTCACGCTGTCATGAGCTATGTCAAATGAAGGGACAAAGTTAGCATTGTTTGCTGGCATTGAGTTATTCTCACGCAAAAATAAGCTTTTGCCTTCAGGCACCATCCAGGATAGACCAAAAGAGTTGTGTATTGTTTTCAAATCAGAGTCGGGAGCCACATGATCACCAAGTGATGATATTAGGTCATCTGATTTGTTACCATTGAAATTACCCAGAAGGCCTTTCAGCTTACCTTGATACAGCTTTGGCATTTGGATGCTAACCATTAGGTTATTTCCCACAGCTTCATATTTGAATGAAGGGCCTCCAGGGTACTTTACTTTAATTTGAGGAATGCTAAAGTTAGCCTCAATTGTCACACCATTGTACTCTTGGTACGACAAATCCTGGAAGGTTTCAGTCACATCTTCACCATGGATAACTAGGACCATTCCTCTCACAGGCGATATGCTCACTTCAACTGTGTCACTGACATCAACAGCAGTCACGAAAGCCTCCCAAGACGTTGCTGTTAAAGTAATGTTGTTTGGGCTGTTAAAAACTTTTGTGCGACCTTGAACCATCAGCAAATTGTTACTTTCCTCATAAGTTATCAAGTAAAATTCACCAAGTCCATTAAATGTATACTTGAAACCATCTATGGTGATGAAATGAGGATCTCCGAATGTATTAGTGGGACGCTCAGGTTGGTATCCAGAGCAGTCATCTGTGGGCCTGAGTTCACTGTACAATGAACACAAGTCCTTATTTCCAGACTTACAACAGAAGTTGTAGGGGCGTACATCTTTAAAATAGTGAGATAATAAATTAGAACCCAAATCCACTGTTCCTCCTCCGTTTTCAAATGGTAGGATGTTGCCTGCTTGGTCATAGCAGCATTGTTGTCTGTGGCCCGACTGACTGGGACTAATGGATCTTATACAGTGATGAGCCCCAACATGATAACGACAGCCACTCCCACGGTTACATGCTAAATCGTCATTGAATCGGCGGTCATTTTCAAATTCAATGTTGTAATCAAAGGTACATGGGCAAGAGATGAGCTCTTGTAATGTCGCTGGTGGTGGTGAATTTTTTTCATACCATTGACGGCACCTTGCACTATCACGTGATGCCTTAAGTTCATTGTATGCATTGATAGCTGATTTTATCCCAGCATTTATGCTTTCAATAGCTGTTAAGGCTCCACGAACAAAAGATTTTAACAGTCCTGAATCTCCAACCTCTCGGCGTTGTATGTGGGATTGTGGTTTTGCTAGGAGATTCTTGAACATTGCTTTCAATAGCCAGTCAGGGGTGTGGATATCAGACCACAGGGACACAGGGTTGCTGACAGAGGACTCTGATGGCCGTAACCTGATTGCTCCAGCTTCTAACCATGTTGTTATATGCAAAGCATTGGGGAGCCAAACTTCTCCAGTATTGGTGATGTTTTGCATTATTTGTAGGAATACAACTTGAGGGTCCTGAGAGGAATCAATTTTGGGCTCCAGTCCTAGCACACACTCAACATGAATGAAAGAGGAATTCAGTTTATTGGCATCCCAGCGGAGGATCATAGGTGAATTTAGTTTGCTCCATTCATCTGCTCTGATACGTTCAACTGTGTCAGATGACAACTGTATCAGTGTGAAGAATGTTTTGTGAGTGTATGTAATTCCACCATCAGAGCTAACCTCCGCTAAGATGCGTGATTGGCCACTGTAGGCCAACTGCCATGGAGTAATACAGGTGGCCCTTACATTGTCAACTGCAGTTCCATTGACTTTATGTCCACCAAATCGGCACACAATTTGAGAGGAACTGTTAAAGCAGGGGCCAGACAGAGTCACTAGAGTTCCTCCTAGCGGGTGTCCAAAAAATGGGGACAGTGTCAGTTGACCTGCCTCATTGCAGCCTCCTGCTTGAATTGACGAGAGATCAATACGAAAGATCCACTTCCCAGGAATTCCAACATTGGAGGTGGACTCAACATCGATAATGTTGTGAGTCCTTGAGTGGGGTAGGTTGAAATATCGTCGCCCATCCCCTGCATTGAAGCCTGCCTGTGCCTGCGTGCCACCAAGGCCATTTTTGTCACCATCACTGGATGTTCCTGTTGTCCAGCTGATGTTCCCGTAATTAAAGATGGTAAATGACCTGTGTCCATCTGTTGTGAGCACTGCCTGGAATGTGTTGTGAATGTGAGATTTTTCGAGAGCTCTGCCAAAATATGCAACTTTGTGCCAGGTGGCCACAAAAGCCCAGATTGCCTTGTATGATTGGAACTTGATAAAAGCCTGTCTGATGTCACTATTGACCAGATTGAGAATGTTCACATCCGTCGTCTCGCGATAGAAGACAGTTCCTCCCTTTCTAGTGTCCACATCGGCCCAGAAAGGAGCAATTAGCTGGCGACCATCTGCAAGAGGAAAGGCATCCGGTGTGTATTGGCTAACTTCTACAGTAAACGAAATGGCGCCATTAGTATTGACAAATACAGTGTTGAAAATGTCATCAAAGAACTTTATGGGTATCGAAAGGGAGACCTGCCCAGAACTGTCATCATCATTGCTTGGGACTACCTGATCTGTAGTACCATTGCCGTATGGATAAAATTCCAAATTTTGATGAGATTTCTTAAAGTACAATATCAAAACTGAGCTGAACAATACAGCTGCTTTTCCAAAAATAGCCATTTCTCTATTACTTGCTCTCTAGCTTAGAAAATTCAGCAGTTACTACATTACAACTATTTATATAAGCCAACCACAATGGCAAGAATTTCCTAGCTATTATTCACCAAATAGCAAAAATTTTCTATGTGATACGTAATTTGAGTATTTTTTTACTAATTTTACTTCCTTAACCAAACGCTATGATTTCTATACTGTGGTTATAAAGCAGAAAGTATAAAAATGAATTCTCAGAAAAAGAAACTAGAAAGATAAAAACAACCAAATAATTCCCATCAAAAATGACATATTTTTAATAAGGGACAGGGTGCAAATGTACCCTCTGGGGGTTGAAGCATACCTAATTATTTTAGGAGTTGAGCATAATACCTGAACTATATTTACATTACCTAATCCTAAATTGGAAGCACCTCTAACCATAAATCCACCCAAGTTTCCAAATTAACCCTCCCCTAAAATTTTATCAGTGTTTTGGCTATATTTGAAAACAGGTACATTTGCACCTGACCCCTTTTAATAATACTTCCCAGCTTAGTGTTATTATTTGCCTTAATACAATTCTCTTTAGGTTTTTTTACTGATTTTAGAGGTTGGAGTTATTTTTTTTTTGTGTTCCAAGTTTTCTCTATTGAAAATATTGCAAATTATTTCTATAAACTAATATTTAAGCAGACATCAAGACCAATATGAAAAAACTTGGCTAACCCAGACACTTCCATTTTTATATTCAACTTTTGAATTATATTGAACACATATATTTGTCAGCTATACTCTACAATAGAGAAGTAGTATTGAACCAGTATTGCACTATGCAGGTAGCACTGATAAGCAGTAGTGACCTAGTTTCACGTAGGGCAGTGCATACACATTATATAAAACCTATTAAATTATATAAAGAATATTGCTATTTGCAACCTAGCATTAATATTACAATTTATTAATCCATACATTTAGGATTTTCAACTAAAACTAGTTGAATTAATTATCAATTATGATTAAATTCTAAGTTTAGATTATATTCACTATCCAACAGTATTGTGAACACAATACTGTTCTACTTAACATGCATCAATCAAACATACTTCCTCTGAATATGAAGATGCTAAAAATACTAACTCAATCAATTGAATATCATTGTTAATGTAGAATATAAAAACCGTCAAATATACAATCTACATGTTTTCTTGATTGTTGGACTTGTCCTATTAAAATTGTTACATCTTATGCAACTCTCCAACCTTTGAAATTCAATTATTATTTAGAAGAGGAAAACAATAAAAACATGACCATATTTACAACTCTCTTGTCTTAAAATGTTACTTTGTTTTTGTGAACATTGAAATTTGTGAACTATCAACCTTCAAAAGAGTATATAAACCCTATGAAATTAACAGTTGATAGTTCAGTTTTCTAACCATCAGCTAGCTGCTTAAACTAGCTTGTTTAGAACTAGAAACTCATTTTACTCAATACATATTCTTTGGACGAAATGCTTGTGTTTTGTTGATTCATTTCTACCAAAATTACATTTGTTAAACTACTTGTGGAGGAACTTTAAAGGTTCTATTTGGACCAGTACTTTGGCAAATTGGTAAATGATTGAAAAGAACAATTACAGTTGTGACAAACCAGAACTTCCTACAATTGCAATAGAATAAAGTACAAATATGGTGCAGTTGACAGCCACAATGCTACTTCAATGAATGTTATTTTGGTTTATGAAAATGACAAAGCCAGAGCCAAAGAAGTAGATGAGTATCTTTCAAAAATTAATGAATTAATGTTGAGAATTAAAAGTAGTGGAGCCAAAGTTGATGGTAATAGTTTCTATTAAATATTTTCTGTATCCAGTTGAACAAAACATGTCTACATTGTTTTTCTTTTGTTTTTAAGCAAATAGTACTCTAGTTAGAAATTTTGTTGACTTGAATAAAATAAACCCCAACTCTCTATAAATATCCAATACCAGAGATCAACAGAAGTCGCCCATTACTGATTTTAAAATTCTCAAAGTAAACACTTTTTTTTCTTTTTCTTACCTACAAGATCTACCACAGTTTTGTCCGCCCTCTTTATTTATTACCAAGGACTCACCAGAGTCTACTAATACCTACACTATACAGAGATTGAAGATATTCATTAGTAATATTCCTTCTTCAGGTGGTGATTATATACAATTCAAAATTCTACATACAAAAAAACAAATATAAGATTGACATACCAATAGCATATATGTGGTCTCATCAAAGGCTGCCATCCAAATGAACCTTTTTTATTAAGTTAGTTAACTTTGTCATGGAAATGTGAGAACTTGAAGATTATTGGTGAAGAAATATGATACTCTGAACAAGAATATCTATGCTATTACATCATTTCTGTTTGTTTGGTGAAGCAATTTTCACACAAGGAATGGCATAAAAAATTATCCTTTATAAAGATTGGTGAGATAGCTTCAAGTTGACCTCCATTCATTTATTCTTGAAGACATCTTACATTTATTCTCCAACTGAAATTTCCATGTTCTTTGTTCTTTAGTATAGTAAACCTACCCAGGTGGGGGAAGATTCATGCTAAAGGGGTTAGTAAAAATATTGCTATGAGCTATTCCTCCACAAAGAGGTGGGCTGCTAATATCAGAAAAGGAAGATAAATTTAGCAGGTTTACCAAAGTTTGGATGTCCAAGAACAGTTAGTGTTGACTCAAACAAAACAAAAATTCAATAGCTTGATAAGGGAAGATAGGGCCATGTCCAAAGAACATGTAAACATTCTCTTTACCCTCAGACAAAGGTAAGAATGTCAAAGTCTGCAGAGAAACTAAAGTGTAGCATTTTCAGGACAGGTCAAGTATAATCCATATTGATTTTGTGTATTATGAGGAAATTATGAATTCGGCTCACTACATAGAGATCCTCCAAAAACCTAAAGAGAACAATAAACTGAATTTGCCCAGGAAAGAATGTATTCTCTAGCATGACAATACACAACCCATATAAGCTTCCATGAATGACTTTTATACAGAGACAAATTGGACACTCTGTCCTCATCCTCCTTACAGTCCTGATTTGGGTGACAGATTACAATAGGCTGAATGAATTGAAAAAATCTGTGACCCAATTTTTGAGGGGAAAGAGTGCAGACTTTGCACCACATCAGTCTTCTTCCAAAGAAATGTCAGCAATGTATTGACAATGGGGGAGGGAGTATTGAAAATATTTTTTTTCCTACAGCCTACACTACAAGCTAAAATAAAAAAAAATTGTCAAAATCAACTGAATATTTATCAAGTTACAAGCATAGGCTCAATCTTTTCCATTAACACATAATATACTGAATCTAAAATTATGTAATTCACGATTTTAGCTTATAAATTGATGAATTTCTAATAAAATAAAAGGAAAAATTAAAATGTTATGAATAGTTAAGTTTATTCTATCATCTTAAATGCTTATCATAAATTAAGAGAGAAAAACAAACCTTTATTAATATACAGTACTCAGTTTTGAATATTTAATAAAACATTTCATTAATTAGAATTTTAAATATGTTCAAAGATTAAGAAGATAAAAAAAACTTCTATGTAATTGACAGTTTTTATGTGACTGAACTTGTGATAGCTCTTATCTCACTTCTAAACTTTTAGATAATACTATAACAGTATACAATTTTCATGCCAATTAATTGTTCATTGTGTCCACAACAATGCCATCTATTGTTCATTAATGGAGTTTAGTGTTTTACAAATAAATTAGGTTTGGGATTGGGGCTGGGCTGAGGTCTGCGCCCCCTTCCCTCTCTGTGGTTCACCCATAGAGGATAAGGTTGAAATTGATGTTTCCTATCTTCATCTTAGAAGATTTCTGTCTCTTGTGGACATTTTTCTGCCTGAACCAATTAAAAATATAATACAATTACTAAGAATAATGAATCATATTTTTTGAATTTTGATGAGATAAATAAAGAGGATAATTTAAACAAAATCAGAATGAAAGAGATGAAGAGTATTCTACATATTTTTATGTTTTTAAAAGAGCCATAAGCATATTGAATATATTTCACAACCTACATGTATCTCTTGGCAATAGTCATTCAAATTGTTTTGCATGCAAGGTTAAATACATTGACTAACATTCAAATATGATTGGTGAGAAAGACATTCTCCCTCTCTCTCTCTCTCTCTAATTTTTTCAAATATTTATCCTTCTCTTCAAATTTACTTTTTCATCTTATAGTATTTTTTAAACACAAAGATGTGAAATAGAATAGAAAAATTTGATAGAAATGATACCTGCCTTTTATTGATGTTGCTTGAAAAGTTTCAAAATTCAATGTTGAAATGTGAAATTTTCCAACTTTCTATGTATTTTGTAATCTTCACATTGGCTAGTAGGCACCTTTTAATAGACTATTAAAAAATGATGTAATAAATAAATTTGAATTATTCAAGATCTTTTATACAAACCATCCAAAATTGAAGAATGTATTAGTGTTGATACAGCAGCATTGTGTAATGAATATTCCCTTCTGTGTGAAATTGATGTATGATGTATTAGTATCATCTTGAAATGTGATGGAAATTTTCATGACAAGATAGGACTGGTGAAAAGAATTCCTTGACAATGAAACAAATAATTTATCAACAATCAAATTACATTTCCCCACCTTGTCAATTCGCTTCTT